TTCATGCACTTGTGCCTGGCGGACACATCTGCCATCATGGCGTCATCCTCACGTTGCCATTTCGCCAACGCCAAGCACTCCTCCAGCGTCCAAGGCACTATCTTTTTGGCACGAATTTTTCCTTTACGCATTCCCTCGTTCACTGGTGTCGGGTTGTCATTGGTCTCCTGCCCGCCTACGTCCTTTCCACTCCCACTCGCCTCCGCAACGCATGCACGTGGTGGTGGAGTACACCCTCCTCTGCCACGTCCTCCCCGTGCCGGCTGTCTTGCCTGACCGCTTTGTCCACTGCTGTCACTTGTGCCTTGTCGCCCTTCACCTCGCCCCCTTCCATCACCACGGCTGGTCGATGGCAAGCTTTGATATTGTGCCGATTGTTGGGAACTGTGGCGAGAACCTCCCATACCTACGTTTTCGCCGTCCTCGACGCAATGTTGTTTGTCCATGCTCACAAAGCAGATGACAATGCAAAAACACTGTGACCTTCGTCCCCTACGAAAAACGGACGACAACGGCAACACAAAAGGCGAGAGCGAGGAGGAGAACAACACAGGCCAGGAAGATGGCAATGACAAGGATGACCGACAGCCCTAGCATGAAGAGGATTGTGGGATGAAGGAAAATGCAAGGAGTACGGATATCTGTGGAGCTTGCTCCCCTTCCGCAGCAGCAACAAATATCATAATGACCTATGCTGCTAGGCAGGTTGATCCTCGGCGCCTCTGCCGTCGTCACTGCCGCAGACACACGTGGCTGCAGGGTCGTCGGCTCTTGTGCTGCTGAACCGGTTGCGGGTGGCAACTGACGTGGGCGGAGGACACGTCGGGGCCAGAAAGGGGGACTGGTGAATCGGGAGATGACAGTGACCAATGGCCGATGCGGAATGAGTGAGGAGCCTGCAACGTGGCACGCATGCAGCTGATGTTCTCGTCCGTAGGGAGGGGAGGACGACCCTGATGACGATGTCCCCACCAACCTCACTGCAGATGGGTGGGCCTCGGGCTGCCACATTCGGGAGACCCCGCCGCGCTCGCCGGCCTTGTTGCTCGTACCATTGCCAATCGGAGGAAGTAGTCGATGTCCAAGGTACGCTCCGCAAGTTGCTCCTACAACCCGGCGATGACGTTGTGGAATGTGCGGTGAGAGGGGCGCTAGGATTGCATGAACCCCTTGCATGCCTTCGAACAGCCTGAGGTATGGCGCTTGGAATGATCGTGGAAGGTCGGTTACGGCTGCCCGGGCTGTCGCTTGCATGGGACATGCACGAGACAGTCGTCGTTCGAATGCTCGATGCAGCGGATGTCCCTTTCCTGTTTTTTTTTTTTTTTTTTTTTGGTTGCCGTTCACGTCGTGTACAACCCTTTTTGAAATCCTCCCGCCCACCAAACCCGCCCAGCCTCCCCCATCGAATTTTGAATTTGAACCGTTGTATGAGACGACGCGMGCCAGCAGCGGGAAGGGAGCCTGGATGACCCCAACGCAAGGTGTTGGACCCTTCGTCGGCCTACGACGGSTCCTTCTCGGTACCCCCCCCCCCCYGAAAAAAAAGACACATCAACCACGCCTTCCACTTGTGTGCCACCCACTTCTTGTCTTGATACRGCTGTGGATCACCTGCTTGGACCACTGGAAGTCCGCACACGAACGCAGTCCCCGACCCTYCGTCGGCATCGGAGGGGATGSCCCCCCCCTACCCTTCCGTCGCCACCGGGAAGTGTTGTYGYGAGGGGGTAYGAAGGGCCCGCGGCYGAAGTGGAAACACTCCTCCCATGTYCCCAAAGACCGAATCCGKTCGCTGTGGGGTCTCRCCGAAGYGGTTTTGGAAACCATATTTCTTGCCGCGCGGCTGTGTGGGGTCTCSCCAAAGTGGTTTTGGAAACCAAATTTCTTTTCGCGCGGCTGTGGGGTCCAAYCCTAAGATCATGAGCAATTACTAGCCTATTCGATGAAGAAACCCAGAAGATAGGCTAAAATTAAGAAAAAGTCTGAAAAAATATGAGAAGTTCCCTTTTTTTCTTTTTCTTTTTTAAATAAAGTCCAGGGTGTTGTAGAGGCCAACTACTAGGCACACATTGATCGCCGGTAGCGGTCAGCCGTGGTCACTCTGAGGCGAGGCCACCACCCATCCCATTCTCGCGTCRATACTCCTAGTGCATCCCCTATCCCTACTATCCTACCTCAGTGTGACCAGCACWCRGGACCATCACCCTACWTAAGCTCCACAAAGGGACTAAAGGAACCACTCTTTTTTAAGCTACCAGGGCCATTACCCGGCTTTGGCTAAGAAAATTCTGGAGTTTTAGAAGCAAAAATCRCCACCWCAAAGGTCCTATAAATGCTYAAAACCCGCGGAATCCGTAGCAAACCCTTCTAAAATTCTCCAACACTGTCTTACTCCTTGCCGAGCTCTTCCAGGTCTCACACCCMCACCCSCTCGGGTTACAAGGCAACACGACTCAACCCAGCTCCGACCAGCGTCGTCCSRGCAGTAACCCTTAGTTGTGCTTTGGAATGCCCATCCCAAAGCATTCCCATATCGTTCTACCAGGCCTCACACTCCTGCATCAGCAGGTTAMAGGGCAAYACCCYASYACCGACCAGSGTCGTGTTGGCATCGAAYARCCGCAGATCACTGAGTATAACAACAATGAAGCCTCCTAAAATGAGTTGCTAGGGTTCCCTAGAATCACAAATCATTCGTAAGACCAMGGKTTTCTAAGATTTGATCACGGGAATATTCARACCGAAAACCACCTACCTTTAGCGACTATCAACAGTTCAACCCTATCGCCCTTTCTCCYATACCCCGATACCCAATCTTTACCAGGCCTACCACSCCCAACTGCTAGGTTACARAGTGGCACGACCCACCCCAGAAATCCCCCCCGTGCTAGGTTACAGGGCAAAGCGACCCRCCCCGGCTCCGGCCARCGTCGACTAAGTATCARCTCGCCAATAGACACTAGAGTGCCTTCCACCCTCAACAACTCCCCAGATCTATCTACCAGGATTCGCAAACCAYTGGGACCAAAGACAWYAATAGATACCARACAAGCSACCAATTATCGTCATAGCTGTAGCTCCGATCATCCACTCTTTCAAGCATTGGCTGCAAACATCCAACGAAARCCTTCTCAACCTTACTACGGGAAGACTTACTCTGGTAGAGTCACCATCTCCACCGCTTYTGTACCCTATTTCCGCCCTACTGGYTAGCCCCTTCCCCACAGAGCRCATTATCTCCAACCATCACCGCAAACACAATCCACAACAACCAACACCAAAATTATGATGATTTTTCCAATTGAAACCTAAAAAATCAAAAGAATTCAAAGAACACAGATATACATGCATGAATCATAACCTAAAAAGGCAGTCAACACCTATTATTCCCACAGGGAGAGAGAGGACGAGAGGGRAYTACTTTTTTCCCCTAYATGCATATACATAACGAAATGCACATGTTGACGACGAKCGACAAGCCAAAAAAACGATATTATTTGGAAAGTTCGGAAAAATGACGAGAACCGACGGCATGAAAACGAAAGAGGTCATACACACGCATCCGCACGCAAGCAATGCCGCACCAATTATAGACCGGCACACGAACAAAAATATTTAAATATCGGACAGGTGCAGTATCCAGAGACGGTTGATCCCCGACGAAATTTTGTCCTTCTTCCACTCCGTTCTCACAATAATCCCGAAAAAAGGCGCTAAAAGCACCAACAAACATCGGCAACGGCCTCATTCCGGGCATTGTTTTAACAAGAAGACTACCACGTATCCAACCGGCGGTGTAGTATCACAACATGCTTAACACGTGGTCGTCTTCACACCCATGCCAGCAAAACAGCAACCGGGGGAGCAGGTCACGATTGCTTCTCGCCGCGGCACGCACACACGCACACGCACACACACACACACACACACACATACACACACACATATGATGATCGAAGTTCATGATGTTAGGGACATTACACGTTGGTGGCGGCTGACTACTATCCTCCTTGACTGCCCTTACAAAAAAAACAAAAAAAGAAAAACGAAAAAAACAACAACGGCCGACAGATCACCGAAGCACACGACGGTGACTGAAATGCAGACGTGGCAGCATATTTTGTCGTTATAGTGCGGGGCTTCTCCTCCCTTCTGCGCTGCCATGTCATCTTCCAACCTCTCCACACCCAACATTCAGATGGGCGAACACCGCCCCCCCCCCCGGAGCAAGCGATGACCGACAGATGACCCGTGACCCAAGCGACTACGTACATATCACCCTCCAACTGCTCCATACCCAACATGCAGATGGCCGATTCCCCCTCTAATCGCACGGCGGTCGACAAACTACCGGAAAACCCATTAGCGGCAATAAATCTGTTGACGTGGAAGCATGGCATATGATGATCTTGCGGGGTTGTCCTCCCTTCTGCGCTGCCGTGTCATCGTGCAACCGATCCACACCGAAGACGAAGATCTGTGAGTCGACGTCCAAGCAAGCGTGCACGCCGAAAACGCACACCCCCTGCGTCCTAGCCACCTTCGTGCATGACGCGGTCGCATCCAATCTTCCCTTGCGTTTCATCGCCGGTTATGCAACACTCCCCTTTACACTCACCACCGTCGACGCGCAGCCTTCAGATCGTCTTCCGGACCCACGATTGCACAGCGCCGTGCAAGTACTGCCTACCCCGGAGAGGGGGCTGCATGTGCGCCACGTAGAACGCACTGCCGTGAAGCGCAGCCATCTGTTCATCAGCAATGGCGGACACCAGGTATCTCACGATGTCGCCGACGACATCACGTTCTGGGAGACGCCACTCGTCGGGGACGACTTCCAACAACTTCTTCACGTTGAGGATGACGTCCACCAGGTTGCCTTCCTTGTTGTACTCGAAACCGCCGTCAATCTTCATCGCCAGGGTCCCTTCCCCGAGAACATAGTAGACACGACTATGGAGATCAGCCGTGTCAGGGCTGAAATCCATTCGGCCGCGAGGGTGGCAATGCCGATCCACCTTCGTTTCCTGGACGACGACGGTTTTCCCGCCCACGATCTCCCGCACCACCTCCTCGACCCCCGCCATCTCTCTTTCTCTCTCTCTCTCTCTCTCTCTCTCTCTCTCTCTCTCTCTCTCTCTCTCTCTGTCTCTGAGTGTGTCGGTCCGCTCGCTCTCGCTCTCTCCATGACTGATGTGCACACGTTCTCGGACGGGGGCTTCGACTCCTGTCACCACAACCCGGTAG